TTGTGCATGTTTGAGATTAATTGAATACTATTGAACCTGCCAATAAATTTTAAGTATAGATTATACCATGTTAAGTTTTGTGAACTGTATTATAAGCTTCTTTTCAGATGGTCATTTTATCTGAATTTCATTTCTTCTTTCTTTTCAATGTTAAATCCGTACTACTTGTGTAAAGAAAAATACTGCATCACAAAAATAATATATTTTAGAGGCATAAATTCAACAAATAATTCTATCCACTTAATGAGCTGTTTACCTTTTAAAGTTTTTGAGTGGGAAGGTACAAATGGACAGATGGGCTGTGGCTATAAGTTTGGGCATGCCTATATACAATGTCAACTAGTGAGGTAATGTTGCACATGTATACTTGTCAGTCATCTGAACAGACAGGTGGTCTCTTAAAGCCTCGTCTTACATACTCACTCAGCTGTGTCCTCTGCTCGATGCACAGTTGGTAAATTCTCACGTTCTCATTATGCACTGTGTCTGCAGTGCTGTCAAGAATTGATAATCAGTGTGCACATTGAATATGCTACTCAATTCACTGTTTTTATTAAATGCATGTATGGTTTAAACAGACGTTTTTTCAGAGCATAATCACTGTCGTTAATGTATATACAAAAGACCAGGATTTGAAGGTTGGCTGGATTGAATTCATCTATTGATCATGATTTTACATGACACTTTTTTAATAAATATACAAGCACTTTCAACTTTCTAAGTGGCAATTTTTGTCACATCTTGTATAATAACCTTTCATTCAGGTTAGTTTGATAATATGACTTTCAGGGTAACTTATCAGTTTTATGCATAAATATATCATTGTTACATTCATTACCTGGTCACTATATAAATACTGTAAAATACTTTATTTTCGCTTGGAAGTAATTTTCGCTATTTTTGCTGAAGGAATGATTCAGTGAAAATAAAATCCAGCGAATATACCTTTATTCCTATATTTTACATTCAACTCGTCAAAAATCAGTGAAAAAATAAATTCCATACAAAATTAATTCCAGCTAAATAAAGTATTTTACAGTAGCATAATAATGTCTTGATTTTAAACAATTAGAGGTTACAGATAAGGTGAAGTTGAGGTAAATATCGCTGTTACCATGTGTAAATTTCAAATTCTCTCAAATGTCTTTTCTTAGATTATACTACTCAACAAACACCTACATGTTATAGTGTGATAATTCTGAAAAACATAATACCCTGATTTGTACCTGCATTATAAAATAATTTCTATGTGGATTTCTGGTTTAATTCATGTAATCTGACATTCTATCGGTAATTCGTTTTGAGAGGTAAATATCACTTGATATTTTGGTCATATATCTTGTCAGACAACAAAATTATAGCACCAGTACTTAAGATCTTACAGTTATGCATTATTGAGGTCACATGATCATGATAGTCATCTGCAACATTAGTTATACAGTATCACATTGATCTCAACCAAAATCTAATCATGTTTGCACATTATCCCACAGCAACTATGTATAATGTTTCATTGAAATCTGTTAAATGGTTCTTGAGAAAAAAATTGAAAAAGCTTAGAATTGGCTAATTAAAATTCAAATCAGGAATTAATATGCACTGGACTTCAACAAAAAACTAATCAGGTCTGTGCTATATCCCAGGGCATCCATGTACCAAGTTTTATTGAAATGTGATTATTAAAACTTGGGGTATCAGTGGAAAAGCTGAAAATTGACTAATCATTATGCAAATTAAGTAATTAATATGCACAGAGTTTTACCTAAAACTAATCAGTGGAACAGACGGAGACACACACATACAGACACACTAAATGCAAAGACTCTCATAATGTGCACACGAGAGTCCACAATTCCAGTGTATTTCAACAAACTGGCAGTAATAACAACCATACACTTTTCCACACATACATGTAAACAAAGGAAAAAATACAATGTTCCCAGTTGTGATTCTTTACGAAAGAGATGACAAACCTGGCGACTGGCAGAGTCGGACACGACAATGATGTCACATGTTCGATTTGAACACTATGCTGCAATAAATGTGCACATTCCTTATGGGGTTCTATTATAATTTTTAGTAATAATAATTTGTATTAGTATACTTGTACCTGGTTTCCCTGTTTTGATCATTTAGTTTTGATACACATTTTAGTGTCAAATGCAAGATCTTGCTTGGCCAAACAGACAACAACATTATTCCAGAGAACACTAGTAATGTTCTATCTGAACAATCTGACATTAATAATGCTCTATTTGGACAGTCTTACAACATTACTAGTAACCGGGTGAACACTAGGAATATTCTATCTGGACAGTCTGAAAACATTAACCTGGTGAACACTGGTAATATTCTATCTGGACAGTCTTACATTATTAATGCTCTATCTGGACAGTCTTACAACATTACTAGTAACCGGGTGAACACTAGGAATATTCTATCTGGACAGTCTGAAAACATTAACCGGGTGAACACTAGGAATATTCTATCTGGACAGTCTGAAAACATTAACCGGGTGAACACTGGTAATATTCTATCTGGACAGTCTTACAACATTACTAGTAACCGGGTGAACACTGGTAATATTCTATCTGGACAGTCTTACATTATTAATGCTCTATCTGGACAGTCTTACAACATTACTAGTAACCGGGTGAACACTAAGAATATTCTATCTGGACAGTCTGAAAACATTAACCGGGTGAACACTGGTAATATTCTATCTGGACAGTCTTACATTATTAATGCTCTATCTGGACAGTCTTACAACATTACTAGTAACCGGGTGAACACTAGGAATATTCTATCTGGACAGTCTGAAAACATTAACCGGGTGAACACTAGTAATATTCTATCTGGACAGTTTGAAAACATTAACCGGGTGAACACTAGGAATATTCTATCTGGACAGTCTGAAAACATTAACCGGGTGAACACTGGTAATATTCTATCTGGACAGTCTGAAAACATTAACCGGGTGAACACTGATAATATTCTATCTAGACAGTCTTACAACATTATCCAAGTAAACACTAGTAATGTTCTATCTGGACAGTCTGAAAACATTAACCATGTGAACACTTGGAATGTTCTATCTGGACAGTCTGACAATTTACTGCGAGTGAACACTAGTGATGTTTTATCTAGACAGTCTGACATGCTATCATACTGTATACAGCTGAGAAGTTATTTTACAGAAAGGAATATTTTTTAATATGACATATGTCAACAAGTCATTGTCAATGACACGTCCCCGTTCCGTTCATATTTGAGTGACGTATACATTCAAAGCAGATCATGACCGAAATGCACCTGCATATGTACAACACATTGTGCTAAATCTGAACAAAATCCATCCATGCATGACTGAGATCCGGTTCTGGAATTGTGAAAATACGTGATTTTGATGCATTTTCGGCCTTAAAATGGCCATCATTCCGCTATTGTTAAGCAGATCATGAAACAAAGGCACATATCTATTTGTGACATGATGTACCATGTGTGTGTGAAGTTTGAACTTGATCAATCCAGACATGTCTTGGATACGGATCCAGAACTGAATTCTTTAACAAAATGGCCGCCAGTCAGCCATTTCGAACTTGATCCGAAAAAAAAAAAGACGTGCATCAAGGTCCTATTATGTTTAATGTATGTACCAAATTTGAACAAAATCCATCCATGCATAACTGAGATACGGGTCCGGAATGGTGAAAATGTGCGATTTCAATGCATTTTTGGCCTTAAAGCGGCCGCCATTTGGCTATCGTTAATGAGATCATGAAACAAAT